AATCAAGCATTGCAAGATTTGTCGCCAATATTGTTCTTCTTGCCCTTTCAGCCGTGGGGGCGTTATAATGTGATGGTCAATCCCACTATTCGTTGGTAAAAGAGCCCAAGAGTTCGCGGTAGGTGGTGATAACTAGCTGCCTTCCCTCTAGTCTCACACTGCTAAATTAGGGACGGCTAGCGCAGATAGCCATCGTGTAGCTTTGCGCGAAATTCAAAAACAAATAAACAATCCTTTAGATAAGCGCAATTCAAGTTCACACCAGGCTTGATAGTTTTCTAAATGGTCAGTATTCCTCTCATGTGAAGAAAGAATTTCTCCAATTTTTTCTAGTCTTTTGAACCTGTTTCTTGTATGGATGATGCACAATTTTTTTTTTGTTTTTTTTTGCTTACACCACATTGACGGCACACTTCTTCACCATTTGCTAGTCTCGTCTTGTGGTGTATAGGAGAAATTCTTCTGTTTTTTGAGTCTTTGGGAAAATCATGTGATACAACCGGCTGTGGTCCATGTTGTATTATAAGCTGTCGCAAATTATCACTGCAACAGTAGAACCATTTGGCAGGGTCACTGTAATTCAAATCAAGCACAATACCATCTTCTTTTGCAGACTTTGCAGTACTCTCACTTTTATTGACATCCTCTTTTTCCTCTGTGTGTTTTCCATAAATATCTCTAATTTGTGAAACTTCTGTCTCAGAGTTTATATCATTTGTAGTAGGAGCACCACATTCAGCTCCCCCCAGTGCTAGTTTCAACAAGAGTACAGTCACATTCATGTTCTTGATTTGCTTTCTGTGTGCGAAGGTATTTCAGGAAGAACCCCTCTTGCTTTGCTTGCTCCTTAGCTTTTTCTGCCTTTCGTTTGCGGTACTGGGCTCAAGAAGGTCGTTTTTTTTTTATCAGCCTTAGCTCACTAGAAAAAAGAAATAAAAATATATGAGATCACTTTGATCCAAATTGAATTAAGTTTAACAGTATTGTTAGTGTTGAAAACAATAAACTGGTTATGAACAATGAACTATAAACCATTATGAACAATGAACTATAAACTATTATGAACAATGAACTATTACATTTTCCTTTTATTATGTTTTTCTTAAAACAACTAATTTGTATAAAACTGTGACCCTTAAAGGTCAGTACTGCGCCCTAGGCGGCTGCCTAGTTGCCCTAATGGTAGCGCCGTCCCTGGGGACAACTTTGGAAATGCCAAAGATAAAGAACATAAAAACATGTAACTTAACTAGACAACGAAATCGTCACATTTTTTTACTGGTTTCCTCTATAAGTGAAATACCTCAAGTAGTGGCTTAACTACCAAAGGTGCCCCCCCCCCCTCCGCATAAAAGTAATTGGGCTCCCTATATTTATTTCCCTAAAACTGTAGTTATGATTCTGGCCCAACCCCGCAATTGCGGGGGCCATACCTATGACATTATCTAGCTCAAGCACCAAGCGTACGTAAATGCAGAAAACATAAAATTTAAATTTCTGGTGAATACAAAACATTCACCTTTCTGCACTAAAAGATAAAGAAAGTATTACAAACGCCTATGTCATATTGTCAGTAACTAGAGGATTAATATAACTTTTATTGTTATTTTTTTAATCATAATATTCATCATAGAAGAGTTGTCCTTAATTAACACAAAATAAATATATTTTATTTCAAATTATTCCAAACCACAAGTTTTCCAGTCTTATGAATAATAGTTGTTAAATATATGATTAGATTATTATGCAAATACTTGCTTTATAAATTGATATGATTGTATATTTATTGATTTTAAGGTTATTTTTATATTATTATGATGAAAATACTGTTAGCCAAAAAATAAAAAAATGTTACCTTTATCTTAGTGAATTACTGTTCACCGGAAATGGTGGCGATGAACAGTTTGTCTAGCGGCTCTAGCCGTATATAAGACGTTTTTGTTGTATCTAACTTCTAAGTAATATTAATAGTCGTTTATATCTTTTCAAGTTGTAAATCGCTATCTCAAAGAGATTATACTGATAGTTAAATTCTTTTTGTGAAAATTGAAATATGTAGTGATCATTATAAATATAATGAAATAAAATATACTCGAGCAGTCTAACTTCTAAGTAAAAGTCTTAGTAAAACAAAGTAAATTTACAACGTATAGCCATATAAATTATAATACCCGCGAAAAAATTACTTCACAGAAGCTCAAATTCAAAATCCAATTAGTGTAAGAAAAGTTCATAATCTTTCTCTTCATCCACAAACTAAGTATAACTATAAGTTATAATGTATACTCAGTTATAGTATAAAATATTTTCCTATGTTGCTAGACCTAAGGTATTTGACAAGTCAACTAGAAGTAAAATAAGTAATACTAATATTAGTCAGCGTAACAAAATTTCAGCATGTTTCAATCGTATAATGGAGTTTATATCAAGCAAGAACCACGTGAAGAATCTGGTACTAGTAGTAGTAACCACATGTTTGATGCACAGTCACATTATACGAGTCCTAACCATGAAAACAGTTTTGAAGGTAAAGGTTCAGCTACAGGTAATAGTGGTAGTTATTTCTACCATCCCCAGAACTATCCTGATATTACAATTAATTATCCTGCTTCAAATCCTTGTACATTTAGAAGTGAAACACATTTTATAAATCAAACTGAGCAATGCTTGTCAAATTCTGCTTTGAGCCATTTTCTCAAATCTCATCAGCAATGTCAAACTCAAAATGACATTGACAGAAATTCTGTATTTAAATTAGAGGCAGCTAATGGAATACCTGAATCAAGCTTATCAGCAGGTTGTTCCAAATCTACTTGTAATGAACTTACTCAAGAAGAAGAATTCAATGAAACTAGAAATAAGGAAGCAAGAGAAATCAAAATGGAGAAAAATGAAACAAGGTTTGAAACTGAAAATAATATTATTATGCTGTGACATAAGCCAATGAAATAGGTATTTACTACAGTATAGAAATACAAGAAAATGTAAAATGCCTAAATGTTGTTTGTTCCACTGTGGTCATCCTTCATCCACACAAAAAAATTTAATAATATTTGAGCTTAAATATAGTTCTTCACATCCATATGCATGGCCAACAGAAATTGAAATTAATTGTACATACCACATCACCATTCCACAAGTTTATTACTAACTGAAAAAAAAACAATTCAAAGATCTAGCAAGCATCTAGACTTTCAAAGTTTAAATCCATAGCTCCTGATTATCCCTGAGTGGATCAGTAGTAAGTTTACAGATTCACAACATTGAAATCCGAGGTTTGATTCCATGTGATGGACAAAGCTAAGATAACCTATTGTGTAGCTTTATGCTCAATCAGACAAATTCGTAATATTCAAGTTTGTATATCCAACCTTTCATTTTACCACTCAGACACACAATCCATGAAAGTATTACCAAATCCATTACAATTTTGAACACCTGAAACAAGCACTGTCCTCCTTTTTTTTTTGGTCGGTTTGAGAAAACTTCTTCAAAAGTATCTCCTCATAACTCAAGTGACTGAAATCAGTTACCATTCTTTTAGCCTGTCCTTACACTCATTTTAACAAGTTAATATCTTTCTTACTTGAATCGATTTTCTCACCATGACACACAACTTTTTTTTCCTTTCTAGAACACCAATGCTTTTCTGTCATAAAAATGCAAACCCTTTCCAAATTTCCTTACCCAAAGTTTGTAACTTTATATTTCAACATTCAAACTTATCTACCCCTTTCTCATAGTAACTTAACAAACAAGGACATGTAAATGCAATGATATTTATTATAGAAAACATACTACATGTTTCAGCAGCTTTGGTCTGTTAGATATTGGTGAAATGTATTGTGTTTATTACAATAACTTCCATTATGCTTACATATATTATTGTTTGTAAATTTACTACAATTTAGTCTAATGTGCTTTTCTATACAAGTATTTTGACTTTCTGGTCCCATTCATGAAGAAATTAATAACATTTTATATCTTTCACATTGGTTAGGATTTTGGAAAGTATGTAGTATTGTAGCATGTATAGTTTCAGAATATATAAAATCTAAAGGTTCATAAATTAGAAAAATCATGTTTGTAAGTTAGCTTGTGTTTTTCTCACATAATTATAAAATATAAAATCTCCATTGTAGTTTAAATTTCAAACTGCTTAGCTTGGTGACCTTTTCACAGTTTGGCACATGTTACTGTATAAAAATTGGCTATATTAAAGTTTTGTATTAATATTTGGAATTATTCTAAGTTCAAACAAATGACTATGTATAAAACTACATAAGCTATATATATGTATGTGATAATAAATTTCTCAGTAACCAACATTCCTAGTTCTGGAACATATAATTTAATGTGATTGAATTCAGTATGTAATTTAAAACTTGATAATGAGAAACATACTTTTTAGAAAATAAAAGTTTTGAGACTGCTTGACTGGGTAATGAAAAAAACTATTATAAATGTAAGGACATTGAAGTGTTGTACATAATAATAGTTTTTCATTACCCAGTCAAGCCATCTCCAAACTTTTAGTATGTAATTTAGTTATTCACATTTTGAAAACATGGAACAATTTTAGTTGCTAATGTGATATCTTGTAAGTAACTTTGAAACAGGAGTTTCTGGGTTCAAGCCCCAGTCAGGGTGGAATATTATTTCTGTAAAAAAGTTAAACTTTACAATAATCAAATTATTAATAACTTTTGTTGTTTAAAGTTATGTTGCATGCTGTTAATTTGCATGTTTCAGGAGCAAATTAGGACTTCCAAAGAAAAGGAAAAAGGTGGGAAAAATCACAGATTGTTTTAAACAGACCAAGAAGGTTGACAGGTTTAATGGAATGCCAGAAGAAGATGTCTTACACAGAAAATTACCTGATCATCTAGCAGAAAATCTAGATATTGTTATTGTAAGTAATTTATGTCGTTGTGTATTTATGATAATCATATTGATTATTGTTTCATTAAAATGTATAACCACATACAAATAAGCAGGGTGTGTGACTGTTTTACTCTGCAAACATGTTTCTATATTAAATGTAATTTTTTTGCAGAAGTTAATAACTAAACATTTAGGCTTTCATTCTGGAGATATTTGTTATATACTTTTTGAGTACAAAATCTCAAAATGAATGCTTAACTTACTTCTAAATCACATACACTATGAAATATTATTAGAGAAAGAATGTTTTTGTGTTGGTTTTGAGATGACTAAACCACCTGAGATTTAGTGAAACTGTAGATATGCAAAATGTTCCATATTATTATTAATTATGGGACATCAAGTTGTTATTTTGGCTGTTCAAATGTATTCTTACTTTCATCCTCCCTTAAAAAACAGAAGACTAGTTGTTATATCCAGTCTTGACCTTCAAAAGAATCATCAACCCTTTTCTTTAAACTTCTATAAGTTGCAATCTTTACTAGTTTAGATAGCAGTTTGTTTCACAGATTTACTACTGTATTGGAGAAACAAAACTTCCTCAACTGAAGATGTATCTAACTTGCAAATCTTAAATTTATGACCTCTTGTCCTCTCACACAAAAAAATGGATGTATTGATCTTATCCCTTTTCTCAATAGTCTTGAATTCTTCAATTGCATCACCCTTGATCTTTCTCTTTTCAAGAGAGAAAAAGTTAAGAGATCTCAACCTATCCCGTACGACAAGCCATCCATCCCTAGAATCATACTAGTAACTTCTTTAAACCTTCTCCAATGAATCAATGCCATTCATAAGATAAAGGAAATGACAAAAACTGTACCAAATACTTCAAATAAGACCTAACTAATGACATCAACATTATTTCAATTAAACAAAAACCCATACTTTTTTATGTAATATGAAGATTGTGATACTAATTTCTGAAGTTTGTATTGGAATATCTGTGTAAAAGTTCCAAAAAAGTGTGGATTTTTATTTCATTTTAACTACTTATTTGGGTACTTATTTTGAGTATTATTTTCACTGTTTACAGATAGGGTTCAATCCTGGATTGTGTGCAGCTTACAGAGGTCACCATTATGCTGGTCCAGGAAATCATTTCTGTAAGTATTGTTTTAAATCTGAGGTTTTTATTTAAAATATTCATTGTATTAAAGAACAATTGCTTGTTTCTCATAAAAAATCAATGTGAGTTACATGTATAGATTATTAACTATTTTAAGAGTTTTTCACAGCTAGTAGGTAAGTTATCATATTCTAAAAGATCTTCCTCATGAGTTAAAAGAGTTGATAATGAATTTAACAATATGAAATCAGAACCTTTTTATTTTTAAGTACCTCACTTTTCCCAGAACTGAGAGCCAGGAAAATTTAATTTGTCAGCTCTCAGTTTGCATATGTCTTGATCCCAGTATAAGAACAGAGCTTATAGGTGCTTATTCTTTAGCCAGTCAGTATACATCTGTGTCTTTTAACTTGTGGTTAATGTTTATTGATTGTATGAGTAAGCTACAGAAATTCCCATGTTGTAAAAAGTATTACTCACAGTCATATGACTATGTATTCTATAGTGTTAAAAATTTGCATCGGGTAATAGTGTGATTAAATATATAATAATAACTCATTGGTATATACTTTGTTGTATCATAACAAAGTAAAATATTTTAACATCATTAGGGAAGCAAGCTAAACTTAATCATTAACACATTTAATGACCTACACAATTATTTAAGTTTGATTATTAATTATTTACTATTTTCTTTTATTACTAGATACTAATAAGTAACATGAATTAAAATAATAACTAAGTAAATAGATTTAAGTGATTGTATGCTACTTGGATTTCCTCATTTTTTAAATTAAATTCATTATTCGTGAAATAGATCTGTGACCCTGCTGATTCACTGTTTATGTTTCCATTATTACCAATTATGAATACCTCAAAATTATTTCTTATTGAAATATTTCCATATTACCTTTAACCTACAAAGTCTATTTCCAAAAATTGACATTATTATGTATGAATGAGGTGCTTCTGTTGATTCATAGACTATACAGAATAGGTAAAGATATCATTAACAACTTGACACAGCAGCCATATTACAAGGTAAGTGAGTTTTGATAATAATACAATGGATCAGAATAAATCAAGAGTGATCATCAGTGGAGTAAAAATATATTTTCATGGACTTAGCTGGAGAAGTCGGTCACTAAAAATAGATAGAAATGATGTTTCATTCATAATCGATGAATTTTATCACAAAGTTGTGTATAAGCTGCAACAAGCTCATGGCACATGAGTCTAATGGAGTTTGTGCTTTAGACAAACATTTCCAAAATTCAAAGAAACACATAAATAAACTGTAATTATTATATATATATTAATTACTTTGTCATGAACATGAAAGTAGTGATTTTAAACCTAGATCTACCAAGCTGTAGTCAAAATAAACACTCCCTTATGCAACATGACATACACCATTTTGAAGATAAAGGCTGATGTGACTTAACTTGCAGCACATGTGGGGACATGCTTAATCTTGCGTGTTTTAATTTGTTTATTTTGTAGGGAAGTGTTTGTTTTTATCTGGGTTAATACCACAACCAATGACAGCCATGGATGACTACAAGCTGATTGAACATGGAATTGGATTCACCAATATTGTAGAACGAACAACAAGAAGTAGTGCCGATCTATCAAAGTATGATGTATTTATACATGTTGAATCATTTAATCCCTTTGTGGACTCGGGTGTCACTGATATCCCATTATTGTTCTTTTCCATCTCAAAACAGAAATACCCAAATTGCATGAAACTTAGAACAAATTTCCTAAATAGTATCTAGTTTTGGTTCAAAAAAATTCGTTTGATTTTATTTAGTTTTTATATAATTCCCAGAACTTTGTTATAAGACACTGTTTTAAAAAAAACATTAAAAGCTTATTTGAGAAGTTCAATTATATTTTACTGTTGATCAGAGTGTTTTATTTCATATATCCAATCAGTTTCAACAAGATTAATATTTATTAACATATATCTTTTGATACTTTAGTTTGTTGAATGCATTAGTCACTACTTGTGGTTATAAGCTATAAAAACATGGCAAAAACTGGCAAAGATTTATTGGTGATCTGCAACCTGCCCTGTCAAAATGGTGGCAGATAACAGTGTTCTTGGGTGAGATAAATCTGTATAAAAAAATTCAGTTTCTTTTATTTATGGGTATTATTTGAATACAGTAAAATTAACAATTTTCAGTAAATAAGGATTTTGTTCACTGGAATATTTGACCATACTAGTGAAATGTAACTAAGTGTACATGATATCTTGGTATAGAAGGTTTCCTTAGCTTTCAAACAAACCCAATTTAATGTAAGTATGTTTATGGGAAGGTAAAGAACATCAAAAGAAACTAAACATTCCAAGATCTGTGGTTTATTCGCAAGTCTTCTAAACTTTCCATTGTTTTTCATTTCAGGAGATACAACTAATAACTTTCCAATGAAACCATAAATTACTTCTCACACCACTTTGTTTTCACTACATTGATGTAAATAACTTATAAAATGCTCTATTCAATGGTATTTAAACTTGTTCAAACCATATGCTTTGGCATGATAAAAGGGTGGGAATGAAGAGCTTTAGTAGTAAATCCAGTAACAGAGAAGGAAAATCACATGTGAAACAAGATATAGATGATTATATTCTGAAGGAATGATAGTTTGTAACAATAATAAACTCATACTTTGGGATGGATAGAAAAATTCTAAAAAATGAAAAAAATTGGGAAGTGTTTAGTTTACAAATGAGACTCCTTAGAGCTGCACAGAAATGTAACTTTGAACACATTTTTATTTGCAAGTTACACTAAATGTTATAAAACAAAAACTTAATTCTAAAGTATTTGTTGAAATAGACTTATAATTGTTATGTAAATTTTGAAAGTTGATAGGCATTTGTGTATTCTGAGAAGAATTAAGGCATTTTAGATTTTGATGTGATATGGGTTGAAGTTTTTGTCAAAAAGTGATAGCCTTGTGCCCAGCTCTTTATTGTAGTGTAATGTAGAATTTACTTGTGGTAGGCTAGTGTTATCAGAGTAGGCTAACAATTAATTCTAATATATAAAAATATACATAATTAACTTTAACATATAAAATATTTTAAAGCAAAGAGTTAAATAAAAACTAGTAGGTCAATGTTAAACCTGTAAAGTGTTTGTGATGTCATGCTCACATTCACAGAATCATCTAAAGGTAGTTTTTTTAAAATAGGGGGTTTGAATCTTCCGCTTCAGTAAATAATACTTCATATTTTAAATGTGTAAAATTTTCTTTACAAAAAAAGGATGTTCTACCTATTAGTATTTTATTTACATCATTTCATGTGGGTTTTATTAAGTGCAGAAATTTGTTTGCTATATTTACTTGATATTTGTTAGGATTATAATTAAACTAGCAAAATGTTTGCAATCAAATTAGTATCTTTATTGCAACAGTATGTTTTTAAAAAAAATATTTCTAGAATAATTCAAAAGAATTCTAATTGCAGACACTAAAATCTACAAGTTCATTTGTGTTAGGCCTAACATTAGTTAAGTCTTTATTAAGTACGGCCTATATTCAATAAAGAGATAAATTAATACTGTAATTTGTGTACATTTTTTTGCCTTAATTTAATTAGAACTAAACTTTACTGTACTTAATATTATCAGTAAATAAACTATAGTGTTCTTCTGCAATCTAACATTAGACCTTTTTAAAAACTAATAAGCTTTTAATATGTTGTTGTTGTACAAAGTGTCTACTAAAGTATAGTTACTTCTGCATTTTGTTTACATCTATTGAAATGAAGTGAGCATGTGTATGGATATTTAGATAGTAAGGTGTGTACACATTTTCAAGACAGACAAAAACTGAGTATTATTGTAATAGATTGTCTAGTTTAAAAAATAAATAATTTAACAAAAAGAAATTATACTACACCTACAACCTAGTTGCTAATAAATGTGAAAACAAAATGAGTATTTTGTACATGAAAGTTATTCGTCAGTACATTTGGGAAAATAATTTGAGATCACATACAAGTATACAACAAAAGTACCATGTTTTAAAGAAGTAACTGTTTCAAATTGTATTGCAACTAGATTGGCTTTTGCTCAATTACGTTTTATTTTTTGTTTTTATAATATTAAAAAATTATGTTATTACTTTAATAAACTGTTGGCGGGCCAGATAATTCAAAGTCCGGCCCACGGCCCGTAGTTTGGAGACCCCTGACATAGACTAGAGCTGGACAAACACATAACATTTTTATCAACCCAGTTGAAAATATGCCCTTTTTGTGAAAATATATTTCAAGAATGTATCACTAAATATGAAATCCTGCAGACAAATAAAACACATTACAATTTGGCATAATAGCTTTTTTTTGTAAACTGTGAAGCCAAATGGTAGAAGTTCATAACAGTGTTATTAAGTTGTGTTTTCATAAACTTTAAAAAAGTATCTTGTTAAAAATAGAAGTTTATGAAGAACATGTATTATAAAAGTATGTTTATTCAATTAATCACTTATACCATTTCTAACCTTTACTTTTATATGTACACTAATTTTTTAATACATCTTTGATAGTGTTTATACCATTACATTACAGAGAAACAGCTCCTAATTACAAAACAAATACCTGATTTGTGTATTTAGCTTACAGGTGAAAATGTTTCTCAATATGCTTTGTGATTATATTGTTTGTTTCAGAATGTATCTGGTTCTAATTACTCTGCCAGTTATTAAGTTCTCTCCACCTGACTTATGAAATTATTTTTTGATCAGATTCCTTTTGAAATAAATTTGCCATGCTCAAGTGTCATTGTTGTCTGACTCGTACTTACAGAAAGAATACCTGATGTGTTATAGACTGGTATAAACATTCAAAGCCCTACAAAACATAAGTTTAACTTCTTACAAAATACCGAAGATTTGATGGCCGATTTAGGTTTTTATCTTGGTTATATTCTTATACATTGCAGAGGAAATTAAGTAGGACAGTTACTCTTTCCATTTGTTTCAAGTGTGTTTCATTGATTAATCAAAAAGTTTCAAAAATGATGGTTAGCTCAACTAACCTGATATTTGAGTCAATACCACACTGTAAAGAAATCTTCTACATCCTTTTGAAGCATAAAGATGAATATATCAAGTTTGTGTCTAAATTGGGAACTTCAGTTTTTGATTGTTCTTGTCAAAAATCTTTAAGTGCATTAATAGATTTTAAATGATTTTACTTTTCAAATTATTTTCAGATGTAAAAGATTTAATTGAGCACTTTGACTACTGAACATACATTTTATAATATTCTCATTGACTGAAGATGATTGAATCTATATGAAGTTTTTTATATTTCTAAAGAGGAACTGTCAGTCTGGCACTATAGCTTGCTAGAAAAATTAGAGAAGTCTTATTTTCTTTTCATTCCAAAAGATTGTAATCTTAAAATTTTGACATATAACTAATGTTTTTTCCCTTTTTTTTGAGATATTGTATAATTGTCAAAGTACATCGCAATTGATTTGCTTCATTGAAATGCATTCCAATGTTCAGAGAGCATACATAGGCAAAAACAAGTAAATGACAAAAGGGTGTAAGATGTAAGTAGTTTTTCTTTATTTCTTTTGTGTGTGTGTTTTTTTTTTCATCGCTAAATTTAATCTTTGTTTTGTATTACTACCAGAAAAGAACTCAAGGAGGGAGCAGCAGTTCTCGTCAAGAAACTTCAAACTATTTCTCCAAAAATTGCAGTTTTTAATGGCAAAGGTTGGTGGATATATATTACACTGATTTATCTAATAATTTGAAATATAAATTTATAAGTAAACCTTTCATTTATTCAACTGATAAAAAAAAGGTTAATTCACTACATGCATACTTTTTCAGATATAATATGTTTCAGTTTTATAAATGGAGTGATACATTCTTACCCTGAGAAGGTATATTTTTTATGACTTGATCATAGTTATGCTCCAACAGAAGTGAAGAAAAAAATTTTTAGAACATTTTTTTAGTTTTCTTTTTAAATATTTTATCTCGATATAGTAGGTGGACAAGACAGAAAAAAAAATATACATCACTGAAACTGAAAAATGTTGTAATTACTAATAAAAGTTCTTAACTTAATGATTTTCAGTTGAGGCTTTCTTGAGAGAAAATACTGTTTAATCAGTTTTTGATGTTATTTTATTTTTAAAAATTGATTTTATTAACATATTTACTTAGTTCTTTAAAGTGTCAGAGCTGTCATGTCTTAATGTTTTATCAACATAGTGTCTTTAGTAAAATATTTGTGATTAGTAATGGATATGCAAATGAAAAAATTATTTTTGGTTAAAATTTGAATCACTTAGGTTGTTTCTGTTTTTGTATAGTTTTAATCTATTGTTGTGACTTCATCATTATGAATAACCTAATTTTTTTTCCTTGTAACTGTGTAGTCCACCAAACACTATTTTACAATTTTATAGGTATCTATGAAATATTTTGTGGAAAGAAAAACTTTAAATTGGGAATGCAACCAGAATGTATTGAAAATTCCAATATAGTAAGAATGATCTTATTAAAATTTTCTAGGTTTTAAGGTAGTATATAGTTCATATGAAACATTGTTATGAATATAACTTTTCTGAAATCAATAAGTTGAATATTTTTATAGTTATGAAACATTGGAATGTTATGAAGATTGATGTGTATTGCTAGTGAAAATACCACATATGTACACACAAACAAAAACATAATGATATGTATAAACTACATTTAGATCTCCTACCATTACTTAATAATGTGACATTGTGACTCACAAAAGAGCTTCTTAGGATGATGGAATTAAAAAAAATAATAATAACTGTAGCCTCCAAAAATATACATTTCTTAAAAAGTATACACATAACAGCTACTCTTTCACCAACTTCCTGCTTTCAACACCGATTTTCCACTACATCTTAATTTAATTCAAACATACTTATCTTATTGTTGAAAGGAGAGGGAAATCCTCAAACAAGGGGTACGTGCATTAGTTACTCTTAAGATGTTGTACATGTCTTCAGTTATATCATTGTTCTTTTTTAACTTTAAAAGTAGGCTATTCAGTTGTTTCCATAACTTTCATTAAAGTTTGTGGTTAGTTCCTTAAATTGGATTGAATCATTTAGATGTTGTTCCATTAAGTTGTTGTAATCTTCTGTTTCCATAATTACAGTTCTTCTACTTTTATCAGCCTTTAATATAATTTGTGGGTTATTTCTTAATTCTTTCTTTGGCGTTTTGTGATGTTTTGTTTAATTTTATGGTTTTTCAGTAAATATCCTTGAATTCTACGTGAAATTTCTTGAGTGAAATCATATAGGTTTTGGTTGTCTTTGGGTATTTTAGGGAACCACATTCTGTTATTTTTTTTGCCTTGAAATATCTTCGTGCTCTCTTGGAATCAGAGATAAACAAAGAACTAATACAACAAATAAAAGTCACACATCCACTGAAGTTAATGAAACAGATATCGATCATCAAGAAATGAAAACGGAGATTGTTGCACTAATCTTCTAGTTAAATCTTCTATTCCAGTTTGCCCCCCAGTAGCACAGCGGTATGTCTCCGGACTTACAACGCTAGAAACCGGGTTTCGATACCCGTAGTGGGCAGAGCACAGATAGCCCTTGTGTAGCTTTGTGCATAATTAAACAAACAAACAAATATTCCAGTTTTGATTCCTAAGGCTGGAACATTTCTTTGTGTCATTGTATATTTTAGGCCCATCACACATTTATGAACAGAGCATGACAAATCAACATCCAATCAATAACAACAACTTTAAAATATTATGTAAAGAAAACAATATCAATAGAAGAAAAATTAAAGAAGCGTTTATTATCCGCGATTTAAAACCTAATTTAAATACAAATACTGGTGTCTCTTTATATCTATTCTAAATTGGAACAAAATGATCGAGTAAATTACTAAAACTTAACACTATATCATAAATTTACCTGCTGATGACCACACGAGTGGTCGAAACGTTGTAATAAATTTTCTAAAATAAAATAATCCACTAAACAGCTGTCCTCAAAGTTTTATTATTTAAGTAAAAAGTGGATTTCCCTCTCCTTTCAACAATATTATGTTATACTTTAATTGATAAGCAACATGGTATAAAAGCCATTGTTGGAACGCATTGTTACCAAAACGCATTTGACTTTTCTGTATATTAGAAGTTTTTATATAAGGTACCACTTCTTTTTTATGTGGTTTTTCGCTTGCTTATCTCATAAAAAGATGCGCACGTGCATAGATAAGTAATAATACTCAGGTGCACACCCTCAGGTTTCACTTAGTATGTATGCAAAATTTCAAGTTTCTAGGTTCTTTCCTTGTGTGCACACAAACACGCCATTTTATTATTATAGATGTATTTAACATTAATACTCTAATAATACATAGTGAATACACCACACAAATATGGTTAAGTAAGTCTAGCAGTAGGTGGCTGATTGCTGTACTTATAGTAGACAAGCGAAAGTACGCGGCTTCTCTCGGGTTATTAGGTTGTTATATAAGGAACCACTTCTTTTGTATATGGTTTTTCGCTAGCTTGCCTCATTAAAAAGATGCGCACGCGCATGCAGATGGATAAGATAAGTAATAAGACCCAGGTGTACAACCTCAGGGTCCACTTTGTATGGGTGCAAAATTTCAGGTTATTTCTTCTAGGAGCTATGGTGTTCATACATACATAAACACGCACGTGCGCACGCGCATGCACACACATGCGTGTCTGTCTGTCTGCGATTTCTATTTGTAATATATGGAATCACTTCTTTTATATGTGGATTTTCGCTAGCTTTCCTCACAAAAAGATGCGTTCGCGCATGCACGGGGATAAGTAATAATATCCAGATGCACACCCTTAGGGTCCCCTTAGTATTTTTGCAATATTTGTGGTTTCTAGATTCTTTCCTCTCGGAGCTATAGCAGTCACACACACACACACACACAGACAAACTGACACACCATTTTATTATTATAGATATCTATAAGGGAGAGGAACTTAGGCTCATTTCCATCATGTGTGACATAGCGATCAAGTAAACGTACTAGTTTGTTTTTCTTTAAGTTTTTCTGGAAGTAGGTGACGAGTTTATTCAGAAGTCTGTCACAGAGTGGCTCTATGTTCGCATAATTGGAAAACTAAACTGGTTATGTATGGAACTTTACATGCTGTAGTGAAAACTGAGTGTTATATAGTTTGTAATTTTTGTTTAATTATATGTGGTGTAACGTTAATTTAAGCCGGGTAGGCATATCGATTACCAGCCGTATGTATTGTTTGTAGATTTTTAAAATGTTTCTCGGCGATGAGCCTGTGTTATTTCCAGTTAGAACCCTGACATAGTTCACCTGCTTCCAGATTTTGTTTTTCGAGTTCATTTACATGTGTTTACAGGTTAGTTTCGAGTCTGAAGAAGGGTTTTCCTAGGTAAATCTCGGGTTTGGTTTTACAAGCTTTATTGGGTTTTGAGAACATAAGGACCTGTTTTTGGTACATTAATTTTTATTTTTGTCTTTTTGGCAGTATTCAGCTATGTCATTAATCATGGGTTGTAAATTTGGAGGGAGTGTGGGAATTATTCCAAATTGCTACATCATCCTTTGCAAAGGAAAACAAAAACTTATGTCAGTTAGTGGCATATGCTTAGATACATGATGAAGAGAATGGGACTAACTACCCTTCTCTGAGGAACACCCGCCTCAGAAGTAAAATACTCTGAGTTCGTACCCTCTACATTTACTCGACATTTTTGATTATCTATGAAGTTGGACAACCAGTGTAGTTCGATTTGTAACATCCAGAACCTTAAACCTGAATGCCAAATTGAATCAAAAGCCTTATCTACGTCGAGAAAGCATGTGACAGTATACTCTCTTTTATTAAAACTATCTACAGTCCTGGCCAAAATGTTTGTATACTGTTCCATATGAATGTTATTGGCTACATACATGGAGTAGTTATTGAGTAAGTGCCTGAGTAGTAACAGAGAAGGTAGCGTATGATTGGATAAACGTTTATGAGTTGTTATTCTGGCCTGTATAAATTGTTTTTAAGCATTTTTTGTCAAAACACAAATACACGCCTGTTATTTTATAAAAAGGTATGCTTTTGGTATAATATTTGGGATAGTCAAAACAGATAAACGTTTCGTTTGGACAATTTATCTGGATTTGGTGTAGAATGATGCGTTGTTCCAGGAAAGTCTACTGGTAGATGCCATAAAGCTACTACCTGAGATGGCCATGTTTTGATCAAGTTAACATATCAAGATCGAAAGAAATCTTGGAACATTTTACGACAGGAATGGCATGAACACATTCGTTCCAGGGTATCCCAAAGAACAGTGAATAGGAGACTGACGAAACAAGGTTATTTTGCAAGAAGGGATATCTGCAAACCGATATTAACCAGAATTCACCACCGTCACCATGTTACTTGGGCAAGACAGCATGCAAACTTACAGTTAGGACACTGGCGATATGTCATTTTTTTCAGGTGAGACATGTTTCCGGCTTGTTAAATGATTTGTGTTCACCGTTTAGCCTGGAGAACAGATAAGGGAATACTGTATTTCCCACATGGAGCACACAGGAGGTGGTGCAGTATATGTTTGGGTAGCTATTCATCATGGTGGGAAAACTATTATTCATATCCTCCAGGAAGATGTCAATGGTCCCTCTTACAGGCATCACAGGAAGACATTATTTCTGCCATATGCTATGGCAAGGTTTAGCAATAACTTTGTGTTTAAGGATGACAATGTTTCTGCCCATTTTACATGTATTGCACAGAATTATCTCGACCAGGAGAATGCTACAAGATTCCCATGCTAGCAAAGTCTCCAGATTATAATCCTATTGAGAACTGGTTGGCGGAATTGAGCCAGAAAATTGCTAACCACTATCCTAAACCAGCAACTGTATCTGAGTTGCAGCGCCTTCTAGTGGTAAGTTGGGATGTAATTGTTTTATTACCCTTTGAACTGTGTCTAAACTAATATTCTCGCATAAAATTTGAGGTTACTTGGCGAACATGCAGCTCACATTACCCTATCGAATTACATAACCCACGGGTGACCGCGTGAAAAATTTTTATTATTCTTTATTTTACCCAACATAACATAAAAAGCTTCTAATTTTTACATTTTAGCTACTTTTATAATAACAAAGAAAGAATACACATAAAAAACAAGAAATAAAGTATTTACCTGGGTCGTCTTCTTTTTGCTGTCGACTGTTGATGACACTTAATACTACGTTTTTATACTAATGGTACTACTACAATAAATATTTTCTATTTAATTAAATAATGTTTTAAAGAACACAGAATAATAATATGCAAAAAGCAGAATATGTCCCATTACAATTTTTTTGCCTTTCAAACTATGCGACAAGGGCCGTTATAAATTCATCCAAGATATTCGATGTGTTTTCTGTGGGAACGAAGCTTGTACTGAAAGTGAAATTAACATTTCTCTCTAAAGAAACAACATAATATAATAT